AATTATTAGTAGTTTCATTTTTCATCCCTCCTCTCAAAAAATCAAAATTTTATTTATTCTTGTGCAAAAACATTTCCAGTGGAAAAAAAACAGATGATTCTCTATGGTTCTTTAATCCACATCCCCATTTACATTTTTCATCTCATACTGAACTGAGTCCATTTTTTATATTTATGTTGGACTTCTCAGATGGCATGACAGTAGACTCTAGGTGCTCATTGATGCTTTAACAAAAAATTCGGATCATTGTGGCTCTCTACACTTATTAGCAGGCTTCTTCTGTGTTATCATATCTAATTGCTCCTTTTAGAGATGTAGGAAATCAGATTTAGACAGGGAAATTAACATGCTGATGATCCTAGCCTTCGTAAGTGGCTAGAACCCTCTGAGTTTTTGTCCTCTTGTCCAAAGTTATTCTGAAACACCAAAGAGTAGCTGTATGGGGGTATCAGGAGGATGTGTGTGCGGGCATGTGGGCTGGAAAACAGACAGATAGGAAACATAATTGCCTAATGACTCTTCTTGCTAATCCTTTGCTGGTCAAATACAATGTCCTTGTGTCAGATTTTTTGAAAGCAGGCATACATAGAGAAGTGAACAGCACCAAGATTGCTGAGGACAGGAGTTACTTTCTAGCTCCAGAATTTTGCATATAGAAGATACTTGATAAGTATTTGCCAATGGAGGATGTGTTAGATAATCACATCAAAGAGTAGCCCTCTACAGTGAGGGGGATTTTTGTCTCTTGTTCACTGCTAAAATCTCCAGTACTTGAAGAGTGCCTTTTATAGGGTAAGTGCTAAAATATTTGTTAAAGAGCTGGAACCGGCATGGAATGGCCCAAACCGAGCATCAGTTCCGACAAAGGAAAATTCATAAACACAATTATCAGTAGCCTTAGCAGAGAAACTGAGTTGAAAGTTCCTGAGAAGGGTTTAGCTCATATATATATATATATATACACTAATAAAAGACAAAGATGCTAATTGACCGTACCTTCGCTATGCCCACCAGCCAATCAGAGACTATATGCAAATTAACCCAACCAAGATGGTGGTTAATTTGCATATACCAGCTAGGAGCGAAGACTGAAGACAATGTGGAAGCGAAGCACTGCAGAAGGGAGCAAAGTAGAGGCGGTGGAGACAGGAACGGAGCCAAGGCGGCGGAGGCGGGAGGTGGGAGGGAAACCAGCCGGGTGGCGGGGTGGGAGGGAAGCCCGCCTCAGTGGGTTTCTCTCCCTTCTCTGCTTCGCTCCAGCTGCAGGAAGTCCTCTTCTTGCAGGAATCTTCCTGCAACGGGCCTCTAGTATATATATTTAAATATACTTAAGCCAAGAATGCTTTGTTTATTTGCAGTTCCTGTTACTTTTCCCAGATGCTTTTATATCTTGCTGGAAAGATTCTTCTCCCAGGTGCTTTTATGTCTAGCTCCTTAATGTCATTTAGGTTTCTGCTCAAACGGCACATGCAGAGAGAGAGAGAGAGAGAGAGAGAGAGAGAGAGACTTTCTTTGAGTATCCCTTTAAAGTGCCTATGCAAAATTTAAAGTGTATGCAAAAGTAAACAGAATCGTATAATGAACTTTTATGCACTAAATCACCTAGCTTCAATAATAATTGTTTTACCTATGTTAAAAAGCATATATCACTATGTAGCATTATATCACATATCTTTTTATATCTTTATTTATGAGCTAGCCCGTTTCCCACTAGAGTCAAAGATCCATGAGGTCAGGGGCTTGTTCTAACCTGTTCACTTTTCTATCCCAGACACTGAACAGTATCAGGTACATTGCAAGTGGAAATAAAACTTGTTGAATGAAGTAATGAATGCTTAAGAGAAGATTGAACTAAGTCTAATGGATTCAAAATAATTGTAGAGATTTACAATAATCTTATTTTTGCAATTAGAAATACTAAGTTTTAATCCCAATTTTATTGCTTAATGTTTTATGTTCTAAATTTGCTCACATGGTGGAAAGTGGTAGAATCAATTTACATATGTTGCTTTTGAGCCACTGATATGTTGAGATTTCTATTAAGAATCCAATATGTTGTATCATTAACTTTTAAATATACATTTGTTGAGTAAATAAGCTTTAAAGTATGAAACAGATGTAATAAGAATTAAGCATATTGTGAGTATATGATCTATCAGTATTTTGTGAATTTTTGCTATGTTGGGAATACTACTTTAAGCATTTAAACTTTGAGTAATTTTTTCTTGAGGTACAATAAGTAGTTTTTAAAATAGATGGAGTATTTTTAAAGCACTACTCTTGCATGTTTGCAGGATTTAAGTATATACTGAACATGTAGTAGTCAAGAGGGTCTATGTTCTGCTACAGTAAACCTTGAAAAATCCCTGAAAATGTGGTGAAACCCATTTATTTCTTGCTCATCAAGTGTCTCCTGAGGGTCAAGTCACCTTCTAGGACAGCTTCCTTCAAGGATTTAGTTGGTTTGTCTTCTAGTTTCCATGAGAGTGATAGAGTTTTCCTTGCCTCATTCCAGGAATAATGGATATTGCTTCCACTTACAGCCCAGTGGTCAGAATTAGACATAAGGTTCAATATAACTACCAAAATCCCAGGAAGTGTAGTCCAGCGAGTACCCAGAAGGAAAGGAAACCAGATCATGGCAATGACTAATAGTATACATGGACTACATGCCATAGACCTCAGAGATCACAAGACTATCCATTCTTTAATTCATTTAGTAAACATTTACTGAACACTTCACTGGTAAGCCCATAGATGCCTAATCTTAAGTGGTCTCTCAAAATCACTCCTAGCAATGAGAGACATGTATATCATAAGACTGACAACATAAATGTACTTTTTAGGACTGTTATTATTTTTTAGCAAAGTTATTTTTTATAATAGAAAAAAAAGATTTAAAATGGCAGTGCCCTATATACATGTTTATTTTTCTTTAACATAAAGATATCTGGAACTAGGTAGCCATAGAGGGTTTGATAATTCTGTAGTCATAAAAGATAAATATTTAGACCATCAAGTCAACATTTTAGACACCAGGAAAAAGGAAAGAAATAGGGAGTGATAAAGAGTGTAACTTTTGCCGAAACCGGTTTGGCTCAGTGGATAGAGCGTCGGCCTGCGAACTGAAGGGTCCCGGGTTCGATTCCGGTCAAGGGCATGTACCTGGGTTGCGGGCACGTTCCCAGTGGGAGATGTGCAGGAGGCAGCTGATCGATGTTTCTCTCTCATCGATGTTTCTGACTCTCTATCTCTCTCCCTTTCTCTCTGTAAAAAAAAATCAATAAAATATATTTAAAAAAAAAAAAAAAAAAGAGTGTAACTTTCACCCTGGCCGGTTTGGCTCAGTGGATAAAGCATCACCCCATGGACTGGGGGGTTGTCGTAAATGTTTCCCTCCACGTCCTGCGTGGTTCAGGGTTCAATATCTGGAAGAGGAGCCACACACAAATGAAATAGAAAAGACAAGAGATAATTTGGAAATATTGGGGGACCAGGCGGGTAAGTCCAACTCAAGAGGAAGGACTTCCACCCGTGCTCAGTCCCCACCAACCTTTTATAGTCAGAGGTAAACAAGGCAGTGGTTACCATAGTTACACAGTTCTTGTGAGTTTCACCTGTTTTGATCATGTTTACACTCCCTGCACTTCCCTCAGCCATTAGTTTCCCAGGTAAGATCTGGGGAGTGTTATAAGGTCAAGCCTAATTATGCTAAGAGGACTGAGCCCTCTAAGCTGGGACTTGTTTGTGACTTTGCCAGCAGGTCAGTCTGAGGCTCAACCCTATATCAGTTTCCCACAGGGGGTCTCGGGTTTGATTCTGGTTAAGGCAGTGGTTCTCAACCTTCCTAATGCCATGACCGTTTAATACAGTTCCTCATGTTGTGGTGACCCCCAACCATAAAATTATTTTCGTTGCTACTTCATAACTGTAATTTTGCTACTGTTATGAATCATAATGTAAATATCTGATATGCAGGATGTATTTTCATTGTTACAAATTGAACATAATTAAAGCATAGTGATTAATCACAAAAACAATATGTAATTATATATGTGTTTTCCGATGGTCTTAGGCGACCCCTGTGAAAGGGTTGCGACCCACAGGTTGAGAACTGCTGGGTTAAGGGCATGTACCTCCATTGCAGGCTCGATCCCATCAATTATTCTCTCTGTCTCTACCCCTCCCTTCCACTCTCAAGGGGAAAAATACCCTTGGGTGAAGATTAACAAACAAAAAGAAGAAAGAGAGAGAGAGAGAGAGATGCAACTTTCAGAGAGAGAGGCAACTTTCAACTGAGAGCTTCTTCCAGTTTTTCTAATTTCGCTTACATTTACACCACCTTACCAAAATAGATAAGGAAGCCTGGCAAATGTAGTGTTTTTGTCTGGGTACTTTGCTTCCCTAGATGAAATGAGTTTTTTGTTACTAGGAAAGAATGGGAAGATGAATATTGAGTTAACAATTAACAAGTATTTTTGCAGTTAAGAAGGATTCACTGTCTCACACACAGTTAAATATTTAATCACAAGTAGAGTAATTAAATATTCCTTTGAGACTGTTCTTCATCTGTTTCTATGCTATTACAACCTAACTGGGGCAACAGGAGGAACTAGATTAGTTTCTTTTCTTTCTTTCTAGTACTTTCCTGTTCACATAGTAAATGTTTTCAGTAACTACTTCTGCTACTGACTTTGCCATTAAAGAGAACATTATTTATTGAATATAGACACCATAAAACAGTTGGTATTTTAATTTAGTCAAATATAGTAATATAATAGTATCAGCATTAAATTGTTAGCTATCTATCATGGTCCAATGTATATTTTTTATATGATTCATTAATATTTCCCTCAAAAGAGGCATGCTTAGAAACAGATGTACTGTTAATATCGACAGTTCATAAACAACATTTCTTGTTTTTAGGCTTGTCACTATGAGAAACAATAAAGTAACTTAACTTATTTTCATCTTTTCCACCTTTGTCTTCCTCTCCATAGGCTATATATTGATGGTCCATTTGGAAGTCCATTTGAGGAATCATTGAACTATGAGGTTAGCCTCTGCGTGGCCGGAGGCATTGGAGTAACTCCATTTGCATCAATACTCAACACCTTGCTGTATGTCATTTTGATCTATTTTATTCATCCAAATAAAGAACTGTCGATATTTTAGACATCTCTCTTTTATATGAAGTGTCTCCTTATAGATTCCTTGTACTTGCTATTGAAGGAACTTCATTTACTGATTGATGAAGGGAATAATTCAGTGATTCTCAATATATGGCCTTTGGCTTTCAGCATGATATTTTGTGAAATATGTCAGTACTGCAGCTCTGCACTCTTCTGTCTTTATCCTTATTAGAGTTACTCCACCAGCCTTAATTTCTCTACTGTCTCATCAGTGTTAAATGCACTATGTATCCGCCTGTCAAATATTTTTGAGCACCTATGTGCCAATTTATCTTATAGGTAGGTACAGGTAATACATCAATGAATGAAACTGAGCCCCTTCCCTTAAAAAGCTTAGTTCAAAAGGGGGAGATAAAAATAAATCAGTGAGAAATTCATAAATAATATTACTTAAGAAAATATTAGAACTATGATAAGAAGAGGTATTCATGGGATATAGAAATAAGGGCTAAAGCTATCGTAAATATGATCAGGGAGAGCTTTTCTGAGATGACAGAATGAGCCCATCATTCCTTGATCTATTACTTGGCAAATTTGAAACAAACAGAAGAACCCTAGCCAGTTTGGCTCAATGGATAGAGCATCAACTCAAGGACTGAAGGGTCCTGGGTTTGATTCCAGTCAAGGGCGTGTACCTCGGTTGCAGGCTTGATCCCCGGCCCCAGTCGGGGCATGTGCGGGAAGCAACCAATTAATGTGTCTCTCTGAATTCCATGTTTCTCTCTCTCTGTCTTTCCCCCTCCCTTCCACTCTCTCTAAAAAAATCAATGGAAAAATATCCTTGGATGAGGATTAACAAAAATAAATAAATAAATAAGACAGAAGACTATTAATTTCAGAGGTAAGACTGCTTAACCAGGAAAGACTTTTACAGTTATTTCTGTCCTAGGATTATAAGAAAAAAATAATTTATTAATTCTCATGAAAACACAAACAAAATGACAGTAGGAAATTATTCTCAATTCTATTACATACATTCACTTACAAGACATAATTTGCATTAAAAATCTGTTTTGTGGAGTACCAAAAAAGAACCAGTAAGTTGAAATGATGTGTTTAATGATATTTTACTTCAGTTTTAAATTCTTGATATAAATTTGGGCCTTTTTGGAGGTTCTTAGAAAAATAACCATATTGCATGCCAGAAATCATTTGTTTCTGAAAACATATTGCAAGTTACTTGGACACCTAAAGTTATGAAAAGAAAAGAATATTTTCTTAACCTCAAGCCTACTTCCTAATTATAAGTAGGAATCCAGACTTGGAGTCATGAGGTACTGGAATGCATTACATAGTAGGCAGTTATGAAATCTCCTTCTTTAATGATATTAAGAAGGGGATAAACAACCAATTTCTGGAATGGTTTTGGTTCCCTTTGCCTGGAAACCAGGGCAAGAATGATGGGGACTAGACTGGGGCCCTGCTGTGTGATTGAATTCAAAGAAAATAGGGAACTTTTTTTCCCTGAGATGTAGGGCTAAAAGTATTCTGATCCAGGAGTTTAGTTTATTACCTTCAACTGGAAATGGGTGATATGCATATAATATTCACAAGTATGGACACTGAATTTATGGAGCATATCCTGTCTTTGACTCAGAATATTCATTTTACATTCCTTTGGGAGTTACAGTAAGTGCTATGTCTGATGCTTGAATGTAAATGGCTGTTTTGCTGTTGGTTACTTACTAGTGAAAATAAAAATTTCCAAGATGCAGGGATTCTTAACTTTTTGCCATCCTAATCATTATCGTGTTATTTTTATCTTAAAGGGATGACTGGAAACCTTACAAGCTTAGGAGACTGTATTTTATTTGGGTGTGCAGAGATATCCAGTCCTTCCGTTGGTTTGCAGACTTACTCTGTGTGTTGCATAATAAGGTAAAATTAGGTTTCCAATTTTGCAATGTTTAAATTTAAAAACATAGTTATTATGTTTCAAATTGCTAAAGTTCTAAATGATTGCTACAGAAAAAATAAAAATAAATAAGTAGTAAGAAGGAAAAATCCTTTAAATTAAAAAACAACACAGAGATAACATTTGTTACTTGGTACACATCTTTTTAGATACTGATATCTATGATTATGTGTATGTATCTATGACATGTTTTAACCTAGAAAATGATGATTGATACGTTCTAACATGGACTATTTTAACATAGAAATGCATGTACTATTAATGTGGGCATATATATGTGTATGATGTATGCAAATGCATGCATATGGGGTGGTGAGGGAAGGCAAATAGAGGGAAACATCAGCAGGCCATTGCTAGTACATTTCCCATCTTTTGTTCTAATAGCTCTTAACTTTTATCTTCACCTTTGCTATTCTAAATGGACCATCACCAGACTTTTGGCACATTATGCAGAATTTCCAAAATCCCAAATTCTAAGTTTTAGTTCTTATAAGTATGAAAGCAGACATTCTCCATCTCTCCTACATGTGACCTATTATTTATCTATTAATATATCTATCTTTATTTTTTCAAGCTGTACAAGTAATACACATTTTTTTGCATCTTTGGTACAATTTTTCCAAATAATTCAGATAAAGAATAACTTCCCTAACTACTTTCCTCACCCAATCTATGTAACAAGAGGGAAGTCCCGTGTGTTCTATAAATTCTAGCATAATTTGTATTGCTCTGGAAGTTGCTTTCTTAAACTTATGACTATTCTCTTGAACATTTTTAATAATAGTACATATAGAGTTACCTCATTCTTTTCACTGCTATATAGTATTTCATAGTATGAATGTGTCTAATTTATTTAACCATTCCCTCAGGATGGGTATTTATAATTTTATTATAAAGAGCATAGCGATGAATATCATACATGCCATTTTGTGCAGATATTCACCCATTCAATCAGTCATTCTGTCACTCATCAAATATTTATTAACTGCCTACTATGAAGTAGAAACTATTCTGGGACATGGAGCTACATCAGAGACCAAAATAAAAACAAGTGTCTGATCTCATGTGATTTACATTCTAAGTGGGGAGGAAAGACAATAAACCAATAAAGAAATGGGATGTCTGATTCTGATTAGGGCAAAGAAGAAAAAGAAAGTGGGGTAAAGCAACAAAGAGTAAATGATAGAGGGCATATTCATATATATTGAATATTTGGAAATGCCCACCAGCATTGGTATTTTAGCAGAGACCTGAGTAAAGTGAATGAACAGGCAGTTATCTTGGGCAAAACATTTTAGGGCAGAGGGACCCAACTTCACAGGCAAGCACTCTGATGCAATAGTATTAGACTGGAGCATGATGAAAGTGAACTTTGTGGGCAGAGCCGAGTAAGCAAGAGGAAAATTAGTAGGAACAGCAATCAGAGAGATCGTATGTGTTTTCTGGGAAAAGGACAGGTTACATAAGGCCTTTAGATTTTATGTAAAAAAAGAGATGCATTCTGGAAATATACCCATAATAATTGAAAGCAGTGACTTGAACAGATATTTGTATACCAGTGGTCATAGTGGCATTTTTTACAGTAGCCAAAAGATGGAAACAACCCAAATGGCTATTGATGGATGAATGGATAAAGAAAACTCTGCATATACATAAATGGATTACTATTCAGCCTGAAAAAGAATAGAATTCTGAGACATTTTACAATATGTATGAACCTCGAAAGCATTATACTAATTTAATTAATCTAGACACAAAAGGACAAATATTATCTGATTCTACTTATATGAGATACCTAGAGTAGTCAATTTCCTAGAATGCTGGTCACCAGGGCATGAGAGGGAGGGCAAATGGGGATTTATTGGTTAATGGATAGAGTTTTAGTTTGAGAAGAAAAGTTCTGGAGATGGATGGTAATGATGGTTGCTCATCAATATGAATGTATTTAATGCCACTGAACTGTACGCTTAAAAATGGTTACAATGGTAAGTTTATAATATGTTTTACCACAACTTAAAAAAAAGGACACATTTCTGGGACACACTAGAGACCTGCTGAATGAGAGATGAGTAGCCATTGCAAGGTTATGAACGAGACTGATCTGACTGCTGATCATCTTGGGAATGTGTGTGAAAGTAGCAAGCGCTGGGATACTGCAGTTTCCAGTGAAGCGAAAGGTGTGTAATGGCTAACAAAGGAGACTGGTCCCAGTGGTCAGTGAGGTGGTAGTAAGAGAGAAAGGGAGTTCTGTCTTTGAGGCTAAGGAAGGAAAAATTGTCTAGAGGAGCAAACTTACCACTTTCCAATTTGTGAGTATTTTTTCTGGGTTGATGCAGAGACAGGATTTTCTGGAGTTGGAGGCTGTGAATGAATTAAAATTTATTTTTAAGTTATACTGGAAAAACTCCCCCAGAAGACACTAAAACAATTTACATTTGGATGATGTTAAAAAGAAAAGGTTTTTATTTTCTGTTTGCAAAGTAACAATTTTATGCGTGTATGTGTGTGTGTGTGTGAGAGTGTGTGTGTGTGTGTGTGTGTGAGAGAGAGAGAGAGAGAGAGAGAGAGAGAGAGAGAGAGAGAGGAGAGAGAGACCAAAAGCAATAATGCATAGTGACTTTACATACAGTCTCAGTGAGAGTAGGTAAAAGTATTTTTGAAAACCAAATGAAAATATAGAGTCTTCTGGCACCATATATATTACAATATTATTGACTACATTCCCTATGCTGCACTTTATATCCCCATGACTATTTTGTAATTACCAATTTGTACTTCATTTAAAAAAATATATTTTTCTTGATTTCAGAGAGGAAGGAAGAGGGAAAGAAAGATAGAAACATTAATGATGAGAGAAAATCAATGATTGGCTGCCTCTTGCACATCCCCTACTGGGAATCAAGCCCACAGCCCAGGCATGTGCCCTAATTGGGAATCAAACCATGACCTCCTGGTTCATGGGTCGATGCTCAGTCACTGAGCAACACTGGCCAGGCTAATTTGTACTTCTTAATCCCTTCAATTTTTTCACCAACTCCCTCCCCTCTGGCAACCATCAGTTTCTTCTCTGTACCTATGCATCTATTTAGTTTTGTTTGTCCATTTATTTTGTTCTTTAGATTCTACATATAAGTGAAATCGAATGGTATTTGTCTTTCTCTGACTTATTTGACTTAGCATAATATCCTCTAGGACTGTATATGTTGTCAAAAATGGTAAGCTTTCATTCTTTTTATGGCTGAGTAATATTCCATTGCCTATAGCAGGGGTGGGCAAACTTTTTGACTCGAGGGCCACAATGGGTTCTTAAATTGGACCGGAGGGCCGGAACAAAAGCATGGATGGAGTGTTTGTGTGAACTAATATAAATTCAAAGTAAACATCATTACATAAAAGGGTACGGTCTTTTTTCTTTTTAGTTTTATTCATTTCAAATGGGCCGGATCCGGCCCGTGGGCTGTAGTTTGCCCACGGCTGGCCTATAGTATATACCACATTTTCATTACCCAGTTCTCTATTGATGAGCACTTAGGTTGTTTCTATATCTTGGCTATTGTACATAATGCTAACATGAACATGGGGATGCATATATCATTTTTAAATTAGTATCTAGCCACCTGAAACTAATATAAAATAATATTGAATACCAACTATAATTAAAAAATAAAAAATAGTATTTTATTCTAGCCCACACTTTCTGAGTTGAATTTTTAATCCAAATACTTTTTAGACATATTGGATGGTATGCTATATTTTGCTTATGCCATTAATTACTAAATATAATTGCAATCTCAATTTTTAAAGTTTTTATTCTCACTTATTTGAAAGGGTATTTTTAAATACATTTTTATTGATTTCAGAGAGGAAAGGAAAGGGACAGGGAGATAGCAACATCAGTGATGAGAGAGAATCATTGATCGGCTACCTCTTGCACACCCCACACTGGGGATCAAGCCCACAACCCAGGCATATGCCCTGACCAAGAATCCAACCATGACCTCCTGGTTCATAGGTTGATGCTCAACCACTGAGCAACACTGACTGGGGTGCAAGGGTATTTTTAACTTGAAAATTAAATTAGATATTTTAACCTAAAAATAATATCAATCTTCCAACTGTGAGTTCTTATGCATCATTCTAGAATGCCTAGAACATAATTATCTAGCTGCCCTAGCCACTCAGTCTTAGTGTCAGACTATCTGAAATGATTACAAAAGCTGCACCTTAGGTGGCTCTTTTGCTTGACTGGATTGTCCAACCTGGTGAGTTTAGAAATGAGTGCAGGGCTAGATGTCAGGTGATCTGATACCAACTCTACCAATAACTACATGCCTCGCTTCACATCACTTCACTTCTATAGATCACATTGGGGAAATAAAAAAGGAAGCAGGGCTACATCAGGCATTTGGAGTTCCATTTAAAGTGGGACAGTGGTCCTAGCCTGTTCTGCTCAGTGGTTACAGAGCCAGCCTGGGAACTGAAGGATCTTGGGTTCCATTCTGTTCAAGGGCACATATGTAGGTTGCAGGCTGAATCCCAGCCGCCTGTGTTGGGGCATGTGCAGGAGACAACCAGTCAATGTCACATCGATGTCTCTCTATCTCTCTCTCCTTTTCGTTCTCTCTCTTTAAAAAATCAGTGGAAAAAATATCCTCAGGTTCTCTCTCTTTAAAAAATCAGTGGAAAAAATATCCTCAGGTGAGGATTAACAACAAAAAAGATAAAATAAAATGGGACACTGGCTCTACTTCATATTGACTCTGAGACCTTGGGTAAATCACTTGACTTTTATAAACCCCATTGATGCCTTCAATGTATAAATGAGGATAACAGCACTTGAAGTCTGATGTGAGATTTAGCTTATTCAAAGAATCTATTGGATGTATTTAATAAATGATGGCTATCATTCCTATTAGTGATCTATAAAATTCCTTTCAGGAGTTACATTCTGCTATTTTTTTTTATTTGTGAGGAAAATAAGGAAGAGTGACAGGCAGGAGAAGTAAAAATGAAAAGCATAATCGTTGTGCATGATATTATAATCCTAATCCATTTACAAGATTGTGTCCATCCATGTATTTGTTATTTTTACTGCTCTCTGGACTTGAAGAAAATTGTTGCTTTAGTATGTATTATTATGTATCTTCTGTGAGGGAGAAGTTAAAATGGAGACACTGAAATCATTAAGGACATTATTCAAATCTTCATAGTTCTTTCTGGGGGCTGCGGGCAACAAACACCAGTTTTTGAGGTAGAAGTCTTTGAGCACCATCCTGGTAGGCATCTACACTAATAAAAGACAAACATGCAAATTGACTGTACCTTCGCTATGCCTTAAGCCACACCCACCAGCCAATCAGAGCGACTATATGCAAATTAACCCAACCAAGATGGCGGCCAGCAGCCATGGAGCTGGAGTGAGCAGGAGGCTTGCTTGCTCCAGTAATGGAGGAAGCCAAGCTTCCCTGCCTGCCACAGCCAGCTCTGAGCTCCACTGAAAGCAACAAAGTTTCAATTATGGAAGGTAAATAAACCCCAGATACCTGCTTTCAGCCAGCCGTGGCCATGGAGCTGGAGCAAGCAGGAGTGGGTTGCCCCTGGAGATGGAGGAAGCCAAGCTTTCCGCAGGCCTCCACTAAAGGCAATAAAGTTTCAATTATAGAAGGTAAATAAATCCCAGAATAAAAAAGAAGAAGAAATAAAAAAGGAGAGGCTGGGAGCTTCCGTCACCAGGGTGCTTGGCCAGCCTGAAAATGGCCCTCAGCCCCTCACCCCCACTGGCCAGGCACCTCAGTGGGGACCCCCCACCCTAAAGGGGGTGTGGCCAGCCTGACAACAGCCATCAGCCCCTCACCCAGGGTGGCCAAACCTCCATGGGGTGAGAGTCCCCACTGGGGTGGACATCCTCTGAGGGGTCCCACACTCAAGAGGGCATAGGCCAGGCTGAGGGACCCCCCGAGTGCACAATTTTTTGTGCACCAGGCCTCTAGTTTAAGATAAGAATCGGCACAAAACGTGTATTTTGTGAGATGCTACCCATTACTGGACTTGGAAAACCCTCAGTTTCTTCTCAGTTAAAATCTATGAATCCTGATTCAGTTCAGAAAGGGCCTTAAAATGAATTTAGCATTTGGATATAACTTGAGGCAGCTATTGGATCGGATATTACTAGAGATTATATTTTAAAATTATTATGGTGGTCTAGATTCATTTTTTTTGCATGTATCTGTTCAACTTTCCCAACACCATTTATTGAGAAACTGTCTTGACTCCATTGTATGTTTTTGTCTTCTTTGTCAAATATTAGGAGGCAGCCAATCAATGATTCTCTATTATCATTAATGTTTCTATCTCTCTCTCCCTCTCCTTTCCTCTCTGAAATCAATAAAAATATATTTATAAATAAGTAAATAAGTAAATAAATGCAAAGGAACTCAAAGCATTATGGGTATTGATAAGCATCTCATCACTTTTAAGGTAAAATATGTTTTTATTAGGATTTTATAATTCAGAGTTGCCATCTGTGAAATAATGTCCTTCAACCGTATAATTGTCCTGATGACAAAGCTGAAGCCTAGAAAAGTTAAATAACTTTCTAGAAAGCTCTGGGCCAGGTAGTCATGGCAATAGAAGTCTCTCAGTTACTTCTTGCATGCCCTTAAGATTGTAAAGGGTGCCAGAGGGGTGATGAAGCCCTACTTAATCACTCCCTATCAGCAAAATGACTTCTTTTGCATTCCTAGAACATCTACTTTGAGTCCCAGTATATAAGTTTGTTTTAAGTCATTACTTTCACACTACACAAGGGGTGGGCAAAAGTGGGTCTACAGTTGTGAGTATGTAAAATACCAGTTAATGAAGCTATTGTAATAATGAAAACCTTCATGTCTTTTTCCATAGGAACAACTGTAAACCTACTTTTGCCCACCCCTGTATATGTATGCAGTTTTATATGTATTTGCTTGTAGATATTGACTGTGATTAGACAAGATACATTTTAACAAATTCTAGAATCCCATGTGTTAGAATAGGAGGAAGTCTCAGTCTACAGAAATAATTTATGTCTACTTACTTTTATGTCCTCTCAGCTTTGGCAAGAGAACAGACCTGACTATGTCAACATCCAGCTGTACCTCAGTCAAACAGATGGGATGCAGGTATGTGGCTGGATGTTACTGTAAATGAAACGAGTCTCTCGGTAATAGGAGGTTTACTGCAGGGCTGTGCAGGGAGAACATTTCTGCAGGTGGTTTGAAGAAGTTTCCCACAGGAAGGCCTCTTGGAATGTGTCCAGAAAACTCATGGCTTGTCCTTAAAGTTAAACATATAGGGCATCCCCCAAAATGTATGTACACACTTTGAATAATTATAAAGGCAGCATTTATTAAAATACATTACATTTTCAAAAGTGAGCTACCAGCTGTTAAAATATGTATACTTTTTTTTGGGGGGGGGTACCCTATATTTTGCTATTTTTGTTTTGTTTGTTTTTTGGGAGATTTTTTTGTCCAACTCACAGGGAGATAGAGCAGACCTTACGAGTATTTCATCTCTCTCCTCTTCACTATTGCCTCAAGTTCTTTACCTATAGAGGCCAGACCATAACTGAACAGTCTTGTGACTGTATGCATGAACAGGAGGTTTTGTGGGGGGAAAAATAAGGTCATACACAAAAAAGTTTTATTTCCCTTCAAGGGAAACTAAAAAGAATAGCAGTAGCGATCACATTATTTATTCACTGTGTGAAACACTGTGCTAAGCAATCATGTACACAATCATGGAATTCCAGCAGATTCAAGAGGTAGGAGATATTGCTATCCCATATTATAGATGAAGAAATTGATGTTTACATACACCATGAAGGGCTGCACAATTGTGTAAATCTGGGCATGACTGCTTTCACGCGCTTTATTTTAGTATTTTCTATCATACATTTTCTGTAGTATTTTGAATACAAATTATGAATGCTTGTCAGTTACTTCAAAACTAATTTCACCCTATTTTTTCTAGTCAGAGTTCTTCCCTACTTGGTATGTAAAAATATTTTATTTTACTGCTCTCGTGAAGCAAGTCGGTATCATTATCTTCATGGTATTGCTCTAATGAAGGTATAGAGTATACATCGCATTTGGTTCTCAGTTTGTCTGCCTGGGACTCAGACACTTGTTCCTCTCTTCTCACTTCACTCTGATTCTTCAGATCTCATATTCTGTTCATTGCAAAAACCAGTTTATTTGAGTTATTTGTTAATAGACCCGAGATTTGGAGCTCTTCTGTCTTAGGTTGTCTTGTCTAAGATCATTTCCCCAAATTTATGATTACAGTTTGTAGTATTTTACCCATCTAATGTGCCGAATATGACAACTGTATTTGTAGTGCAAAAACAATTCAATAAAATTTATGTGCTGAGGCCCTTTTTGAAAGTAGGCAATTAGAATGCATTCTTCAACATTGCAGTTGTTTAAAATTGAAGCAACTCAGCCATTTGTAATAATGGCATTCAGGAAGATAACGGATTTTAAAGGAAAACAGGAAGGAAATGATGTTCTAACTTACTGTACTTCATAAGTGGCATGGTTGCCATTTGCCACTTATATTCTTTAGATCACAGCAATTTGGTAGGAAGCCACAGCACCAGCAGAAATGAGGTTAGAGAAATGGGCAGTTTGCCAACTCTCTGTCATATAAAATGTAATGCTTTCTTTGTGGCAGAAAATAATTGGAGAAAAATATCAAGCGCTGAATTCAAGACTTTATATTGGACGTCCTCAGTGGAAACTCCTGTTTGATGAAATAGCAAAATGTAACAGAGGGTAAGTGCTATTCCTCAGCAAATTTGACATGTGGTTAATGATCCAATTAAAATATTCCCAAGTCATTACAGGGAGTTTTTAAGATGACTTAGTAATGGGTTTACAAATTAGAAAGCCACTTAAACACTCACTTATCACTATCAAAAGAGGAAGCAAGGCAGGGAACACCTCACGAAAGTGTCATGCCAAATAATTAAAGTTTGGCTTAGAAATAGTCTATAAATTATTTATGAACTAGACTCTTCCACCTACTTTTAAATGTACATAGGCCCATATGAAAATGAGTGTTCGTTCCCACAGCATATATCAGGTGATCATGGGAAAAGTGCTTCAAAATCACGTTGGCAAACAAGGGAGCTCTACAAATATTCTAACAATGCATGCACTTAAAAGTCAGTTTTTTGTATCTTTTTATCAGAATGAATACATTATTTGAAGCTCTTAGTTGTTATTTGCAGTCTCTAAGTCAGGAATATTTTTAAACAAAATTATTTTTCTTGGGAGCTATAACTGTAAAGAATCAGCGTTATGGACTATCTATGATCGGTAGAGATTACTATTGAAGGAAAGAATTCACTGTAGGGCGTAGAGTAGACAACCCATTTGTCTTCTAATCTAAAAGAATTTTGAAAACTATATACCCATTCACACATTTTAAAGTTGCCATTGAAATAGTTTCGTCATAAGGTTAAGTAGTTGCTAAGGCTGTAATTTCTTTTTTTTTTAAAAATATATTTTATTGATTTTTTTACAGAGAGGAAGGGAGAGAGATAGAGAGTTAGAAACATCGATGAGAGAGAAACTTCGATCAGCTGCCTCTTGCACATCTCCCACTGGGGATGTGCCCGCAACCCAGGTACATGCCCTTGACCGGAATCGAACCTGGGACCTTTCAGTCTGCAGGCCGACGCTCTATCCACTGAGCCAAACCGGTTTCGGCAAGGCTGTAATTTCTAACATATTGCAGATGTTGGCATTTTATATTAATGTAACTGTTTTAAACATATATCTGCTGGAAATCTAAATATCATAGTTTCTGGATACCAACCTCATATATTATAAATACACAGACAAGCTTTCAGTAGCAGTTGGAAATTAAACACAATTTTGTTTTCTACTTGAACTTGTGTTTCTATCCTGATAAAGCTGCAAAATTTTATCAAAATTCAATATATTTTTATATTTTAACTAATTTTGTTTGTTGCTAACTAAACATTTTCTGCAACAATAATGTACATAAATTGATTGTTTAATTTTTAAAATTTCCTATGACCCTAAGGATCTAGTGTTAATTATTTTTCTGGATTTAGTTATCATTATAATTATTAGTGTGTAGTTGATTAATTCATAATTTTAAATATATATTTTATAAATATAAAAAGGATATTTGATTACAAATGAATGAGACAGCTTATGAGATGAAGATTTTTGGGGGAAGGAAAAGTTTTTTTAGTGATTTCAGAGAGAGGAACAGAGATGGAGAGAGAGAGAGAGAGACATCAATGATGAGAGTGAATCATTGATCAGCTGCCTGCTGCACGACCCCCACTGGGGATCAATCCCACAACCAGGATATGTGCCCTGACTGGGAATTGAACTGTGACCTCCTGTTTCTTAGGTCAACACTCAATCACTGAGCCACACTGGCCAGGTGGAGAAACTTAATAAAATCCCAATTCATGAGGTATTGAAAAAAATCAGATTCATCATGGCATTTGGCTCCATCTTCAGAGGTTTTGTTTTAGCAATTATGGTGTGGAGCCCCAAAAGCAAAATTTAAAAAGGAATATATACTCATGTACTTAAGATTTTTGCCATGTTTGAAACCAGCCATGTTCTGTATTCCCTTCCCCTGAAGAAGTAGTTTGGGGTTGAAGAAGAAAGCATTATTTAGAAAGCAGAGATCCTTTGTAATATGGAAGGCCCAGTTAAAGGTGAACCCTGTTTTGGTTATAGTCCTTTTCATCTTTCCCCAATATCATCCACCTATGTGTGATCATCTTGTCAGACTGATCTGGGTCTTGCTATGCACCACCGACGACTCATTCCTCTTTGGTGACATTTAACTGACCTCTGAGAAGCATTCTTTTATTAGTTTTCATAGTATACTGTTGAAAACATTGATTTTTTTGTTTTTTGCTTCATTTTGAAACCAAACCCCAAAACAATAGAGGATCATTTACAGGGAATTAGACTTGGATTATTGGTTTCTTTCGTTATTTCTTAAGAACTTGTATTTGTTATGCTGTTCGTGATTTAGAGGGATTTTGTGTGTTTATTTGGTTTTCATTGTCTTTAAACAGCAAGCTGGTTCAAGTTGGTTTATGATGAGCAAATGTGCACCACCTACTGTTCACATTCTGCACAACTTTCACTTTCTGTATTTTCTCTGGGCAGGCAACTGAAATCCATTAATTTTAAAAAATATATTTTTAATGATTTTTCTTAGAGAGAGAGGAAGGGAGGAGGAGAGAGAGAATGTGAGTGAACAGCATCTATCAGCTGCCTCCAGGATGCCACCCACAGGGGATCAAGCTTATAACCTAGGCGTGTGCACTGATTGGAATTGAACCAGCAACCTTCCAGTGCACAGGATGACACTAACTGAGCCACACCGGCCAGGGCAACACATTATAGTAAGGGATTTTTATGTAGCATAGTTTGGAAAAGAATGAATCAATGTCTTAAGTTCATTAACTAGAAAAAGGTACTATTTAAATAGAAGGGTTCATTTTAGAAGTGTAATTTTGGTTAACCTTGTGTACATAAATTGCATAAACAATATATAGAGATAGGAATAAAGAAGAAAGATATAAATTAAATAAGTTTAATACTATATACTGGGCTACAATTTAATGTTCAGAATATTAAACAGTTGGTATTAATATAATAAACTATATAGAATACAAATTTAAATTGGATTAAGCAATTCTTGGCATACACACACACACACACACACCCCACATACACTTAGATATATACACACGTATAAAAGTATGTATTTACATATAAGTACATATACATATATAAATACATATACAATATATAAGTGCATGAGTATATGTACATACATATGAATGCATATACATTTAAATATATATATTGAAAATATAAAAGTTAATTTGAACAACAATTGAATGAATCTATAATATATAATTCTTCAGCTTAGTCTTTTTCAGATACACCATATATTGTTCATGAAATTTTTATAGCATTATACCTCCACAGTATTTTAGAATATGGATGATATGACCATTACTATCCTGTATGGATATTTAGGTTGCCTCCTGTCTTTTAATGTGACAGTAATTATCTTTGCACATACGGCACATACATTCTCATACCCATGTGAGAGTATTCCAATAGGTTAGGATCCTTAAAATGGAATTACTGGATCAAAGGGTGTGCACATTTCAATACTGTCCTACCAAAATGCAAAAGCCGAATCAATTTATACTGAATTTACTTTGCACTTGTGTATGAGAGTGGTTCCTTCCTTGCATGACTTTTTAAATTTAGAAAATGAATATGACAGTATTATATGGTTAAGGGAGGTGAAGGAGCTTTTGAAGTCACCTTGCCTTCATCATTATTTTACAAATGAAGAAGCTAGGATCCATAAAAGATAATGATTAGTTTAAAGCTATGGTTAATGAGTCAGAATTCAGACATGAACTTTTCATAGGTTGCCTTTTCGTTGTGCTGATCATTTCTTCCGTTGTATAATAGTTTTTTAATTTGAGGTAGTCCTACTTGTTTATTTTTGCTTCTGCTGTTTGTATTTTTGGTGTCACATCCATGAAATCATTGATTAGACCAATTTCAAGGAGCTATTTTTGTAGGTTTTCTGTGATTTTGATGGTTTCATGTCTTACATTTAAGTCTTGAAATCTTTTTGAGTTAACTTTGTGAGTGTATAAGATAGGGGTCCAGTTTCATTCTTTTGCATGTAAATATTCTGTTTTCCCAGCACCATTTATTGAAGAGACCATCTTTTCCTCTTTGAGTATTTTGACTCCCTTTGATTGGGTTTAAATCTAGCAGTTTACTAGTGCTTCCTTTTATTTGATTTGTTCTTTCTTTTCTATTTTTTTTCTTTCCATTGTGTACTTCCTTTTGGACTGAGTATTTTTTATGATTCTGTGTGGGTTTTTTTCTCCTCTAGTGGCATATTACCCATACCTCTCTGTTTGCCTTGAGTTATTTCTCTAAGGCATTGTTTTCCAAACTGCATTCCTTAGATCCATTATCACCTGGGAATTGTTAGAAAAGAAAATTCTTGAGCCCTATTCAAGATCTGCTGAATCTAAAGTTCTAATGATGGGGCTCAGCTATCTGTGGTCTGTGAAGTTTCTCAGGTGATTCTGATAAAGCTGAAGTTGGAGAAACATTGTTTTCGGTTTACAGTGTACATCATTAACCATCATAGTATACTTCAGATACTGTTACACCACCGCATGTACTTCCAGCATCCCTGCATCTTTTTGGCTTTTGTTCTTATTCATGTTAGTTCTACTTTTGTTTTAAACATCAATCATATTTTAAAGAGATAAAAATTGGACAAAATTTACATTCTATTTATTCGCCATTCACCTTTTTGATCCTCTTAATTTGGGGAGAGAGTGTAGTAGATTCAAATTTCCCTCTGATTTTATTCTCCATTCTGAAGAGTTCCCTTCAATATATTTTATAGTGTTGGTTGGCGGCAATGAATTATCTCGCCTTTTGTTCGAAAGTTTGTATTCCATCTTCACTTTTGAAAGTTATTTTTGTTTGATATCAAATTTGCTTGGTATAGACTCGCCTGGCAGTAGCAGTGTGGTGGCTGGGTGGCTGACGCCACAGTGGCAGCGGTGGAGGTCATCTCAGCATAACAGTTTGAGGAGCTGCTGTACCTCAGACCCATGTCCCCCTGTGGTCCATTTTTGGGCACCATGGGCTCCACAGTGTGATCAGATGAACAGTGTGATGGCAGCTTAGCCAAAGAACACCTACAAGTATCATTTTTGAAGTTGGAAGCTCTACCTGAATTATCTAAAAAATATAAAATTATTTCTGTTTTTTAAGAATTCTGAAAAAAATTACTGATTAGATGGTGCACATGCACCAGGATTGGCCAAAAATGTTCGACAACATGCACCCGTGGGCAACTTCCCACCCAGTGGTCATGAGCATCCAAAGAAGACCTCAACCTTCGCCTAAAGAAATGAACTCATGCTGCTGCCTGAATGATGCTTATGAAAGGGACTCTGCAGGAACCTCACTGTGCGGTTTCAGCAAGAGGATGGTGGAAATTGTCAACAAACACAATATTCAGTTTAGGAGTGCTTGTATCTTCTCAGATGAGGAAGTTCGTTAGGGCCTCCAAACCTACGTCAATTGGCCCCCCTCTCCCCAGCTCTATGTTTCTGGCGAGTTCATAGGAGGACTTGACATAGTTAAGAAGCTGGAAGCATCTGAAGAACTAGATACAATTTGCTCAAAGCTCCCAAAGTAGAGGCAAGGCTCACAGTCCTGACAAATAAAGCTTCTGTGATGCTCCATGCAAGGAAACACACAGGAAGCTAAATGTGGATGCAGCAAACAAATTCAATAGGACTGATACTGAAAACGGGTCATTTGATATATTGGAGGATGAAGAAGTTCCACAAGGATTGAAAACATACTCCAATTGCCCAACCTACTCTCAGCTGTATGTGAAAGGGGAGCTTGGAGGGCTGAACATGGTTAAAGACCTGAAAGAAAATGGTGAATTGATGCTGCCACGGAAAGGACAAAATAAATGTAAAATGTGGTACCCAACTAGTGCAGGGAATAGTTACAGTGGAACAGCTTATGAGTCAATCCTCAGACATGGACGAGGAGGAGAAAAGCCTTCTTCCCCAGGTTGGATCTGTGTACCCCAGAAGGTTGTGCTAAATAAATGTATGTTATGTTTTGTTCCACCAAAAATAGAATGCATTAAACATCTTTAAATTCAATTTTTTTTAAAAAAGAATTTGATCGTTATCCAATAGGTGACATTTTCTTTTGTCTTTCAGCACTTTGAAGATAGCACTTCATTGCCTTCTGATTTGCATAGTTTGTGAAAAGAAGTTCATCTTTCATCTTTTGCTAATTATTTATAATGTGTCTTTTTCCCCCCTCTAGCTGTTTTTATATTGTCCTCTTTGTCACTGGCTTTCATAGTTTTACTATATAAGTTGCCTTATGTGGTTTTCTTTTTGTGTATTCTCCTTGGGGGTTCTTTAAATTCTTATTCTTGAGTCAATGTGTTTGTTTTCATTTAATTTGGAAAAAATGTCATCAGTTACTCCTTAAATGTTTTTTTTTTCTTTTTCCTTCTGTCATTGTTGGGACCACAGTTACATATAGTTTAGACTAGTTGATATTGTCCCATAGGTCACTGAAGCTTTTTTTTGTTGTCATCATTTTTTTAATATTTCTTTCTCTGTATGTTTCCATGTTGGTAGATTCTAGTGCTGTCTTCATGCTTACATATGTTTTCTTCTTCAGTGCCTAGTCTTCTGTTAACCCATAGTATATGTATCATTTTAAATATTGCTTTTAATCATTGCAATTTCCATGTAGGTCTTTAAAAAACCTTCTATTTCTCTTCTCATCATGTTGATTTTTGTCTTTAAACATATGAAGCATGATTCCCATCATTGTTTCGATGACCATGTCTGATAATTCCGTCATTTCTACCATTCTGGGCCTTTTTCTATTGACCTACCTTTCTCCTTGTATTAGTTTGCTAGGGTTTCCATAACAATATCCTGAAGACTAAATGGATTAAATAGTTGAAATTTATCTTCTCACAGTTCTGGGGGCTAGGAGTCTAAGATCGAAATGCCAGCAGGGTTGATTTCCTATGAATCCTCCCTCCTTGGCTTACAGATGACCACCCTCTTATTGCCTCTTTACATAGACATTTTTCTATGCATATGCCCCTCTCTTGTTTCTTTGTATATCCATATTTTCCCTTCTTATAAAGACACTAGTCAAGTTGGGCAGGGTCCACTCTAACAGCCTCGTTTTAACTTAGTCACATGTATAAAGGTCCTATCTCCAAATATAGCTACATTCTAAGTTACTGTGGGTTAGAGATTCAACATATGAATTGAGATGGGGCACAAATCAGCCCCTAACACTCCTAGTTATAGTTCATAATTTCTTGCTTTATACATTCCTTGTAATTTTTGATTGAATGCTATACACTATGAAGTTCAAATGTCAAATGCCAAATTTTGATTTATTCTTTTCTCTATTGCTGGATTTGTGTTTGGCAGAATGTTTTGTTACTTGGGTTAAGTTTTTCAGGGATTGCTTTTGAGCTTTGTTAGTATAGGTCAAGAGCAGCCTGCAATCTAAGGCTGATTTTACCAATATCCACTCTACCTTTTTAACAAATAAAGTGGTACCTTTCTAGAACACTACCCATTGCCCATGTATTGTATATAGATCTTTCCATTCTGGCTTATGGGAATATGAATTATTCTCAAGCTTGTGTAAATTCTGGATTGTGCTTGACATACTGCTTCCTGATAGTTCTTTCCTGAGATTCATGTGATTTTTTTTTTCTCAGACATGAGCAAATCAGTATTGAACCCAACACTTAAAAGCTAATCCTCTATAGATCTCCAGAGCTTCTTTCTGTAGATATCTCTTCCCTTCCATGTTCTTCTCTACATTCTAGCTAATTTGGCCTGCACAAATATTGTTGTTTGTTTCCTGAACTCAGCGAGACCACTAATCAGTGCTGCAGCCAGTAGCTTGCCTCCAGGCAATAAGCAGAGACAGTTATTGGATCCCATTGCTTTTTTCTCTTTCTCGGGGTTCACTGTTCTTTTCTACCTATTGTCCAGTTTCTGCAAATACTTTTTTCATATATCTTTTTTTTCCCTAGGTTTTTAATCCCGTAGGGTAAATCTAGTCCCCATTATTCAATCATAACTGCAAGGGAAAGTTTAATTTTCATAGTTCTTTGATTTATTTTTCAAGATGAAAACTTTTAATAAAATCATTTTTCAGTATTTGTTATAAATTTTTGTACCCATTTAAATGAATTCACTGTTGTTGTTTTTAGCACCAATTATTTTCAGACAGTGAGGACATACTGTATTTGTCTAAGATATATGAATTGTTAATCATGTCCTAGGAAGAATTCTGGCAAGTCAACAAATATGAAAGAGGATTATTGTGAAATATTTGTCATTTTCTGGGATTTATTTAGACTATTTGTTAGGGATGTGTATAATTTATCTACTAAAATTTTATGTTAGAAAATAATAAAAGCTGCTTGGCATTTGTTATCATTATTGCAGTGCATAAATGAAAAAGAAAATGTATCCAGATTAATGTTTTTGTATTTCAATGTGGATATAAATTAGTCACTTAAAATTATCCTTTCAAATCGGTAATGCCTTTTCTTTCTCTTCTCAAATTCATCACTGCCCATGCAAATTCATGGAACCTTTAGGAAAAATATATATAAAACAACTATAAAAGAACATTGACATGATCTAGTGTGGAAGAACATTCATCAACTACTGCTGTTGGTATAGTTTCTGTCCTCACCAGTGGTGTGTAATGAAAAGGCTAAGGCAGACTGCTCACTCTCTAATAATAAGCAAATATGTGCTCATAGTTACATTCTTTGAATTTAACCTGAATTCTAGTATGGAAAGCATGAGGTAAATAAAATATCTTCCAGGTGATCATCTACATTTGGAAATAACTAAAAAAATTGTTTTTAGTAGGCCTAGCAGCAGGAAATTAACTTTGTTAATACCGTGCACATGCTCATAAAGCATACTTCTTGTTATGTTCTGCCAAATTTTCCACCTGATTTTCCTTTTTCTCCCTCTTCCTTCCCAGGAAAACAGTCGGTGTGTTTTGCTGTGGACCCCGATCAATTTCTAAGACTCTTCGTAAACTGAGTAACCGAAACAACTCGTATGGGACAAGATTTGAATACAATAAAGAGTCTTTCAGCTGAAAACCTGGGATTTAAAGAAGGAATGAGTGCAATTGCTAACACTTTGAAATTCAAACAGCTATCCTCTGCCAAAGAGTAGCAAGGCTTTCTTATTTATGATTATTTAAAATGGAAATGCAGAGAATGAGGCAAGATGACAGGTCACAGTACACCAAAGAGGCTCTGAAGACTATCTGATGTGACGATTCACTTTTCAAGTGAGTTAAAGCTATCAGATGCCCACTGTTGATTTTTATGACCGATTCAAGAGCTCCCTAGTGAGGAGCTACGCTTTCTCACTGTGAGGCTGATAGCCTCGGTCCTCTTTAAATTGTTTTTGGTTGAACAAATGGAAGATTGAACAAAATTTAAAAATTCATTGAAACTCAGATTACATTTTTCACCTAAGAATAACAGAGTGGCTTTGATTTAGAAAAGCTCCATGCAAATATATTAGATGTTTGAAGATTTAGCATAAGACTATTGATACGGGTACTTTGTGTCAATATCTAATTTTCCTCACTACTGAGCTAATAACTCTACTTGATGTCTTTAGACTTTATGCTGAATGAATCTTTTACAGATGTTGTATCTATTTTTATATCCCCCCTTCTGTCTAGGGAAATCTTCCCTCCCTTGGCATGCCTTAGGCATAATTATTTAATCAGTCACATTATCCTCAATTTATTTAATCACTGTTGCATAGTAATGAGGAAATATTATTACTATAAGTTATAAAGGGATATAGATCTAATAAGTTTTTTTTTCCCTTTTCAGCATTGTGATCTCTATTATTTTTATTTACTTTTCCCCCAGCATAGTTTGTCTTAGTTTTCAATCTCTTTTTAAAAATACATTTTTATTGATTTTTAGAGAAAGAGGGATAGAGAGATAGAAACATTGATGAGAAAGGAACATCATCATTGATCGGCTGCCTCCTGCATGCCCCCTACTGGGGATTGAGCCTGCAACCTGGGCGTGTGTCCTAACCGGGAATCAAACTGGCGACCTCTTGGTTCCTGGGTTGATGCTCAACCGCTGAGCCACACCCACCAGGCTTCAGCCTCTTAAGGTACTTTGTTTATTTGCACTTTGAGACCAAAGGGCATCATGTCTGTCAGTGGTCATTGAGATAGATATAAGATCTCTCTTTTGTCACACATTGGTTATGTTGAAGATATTGAAAGTGTAGTCACATCCCTAATAGGAAATCTGAATTTTACTTCCTACACAAGATAAAATATTTCATTAGTTACTTAAATTCAAGTTCAGAATCAAGCAACATTATTGCTGCACCACCTGGTATTCTGGGTCTCAATAGGGAATTATTGAGTTTTAAGTCATTGTTAGGCTTACTCTGTGTAATCCTATCAGTTCATGTTCCCTGGCCATTATACTGGCTCACAGGAAGAGTCACTTCACTACCTTAAGAATTAAGGCATTTTTACAGTTCAGTGATTTTGTTTTGTAGTCCTTTATCAGTTGCTATCAAATATAGCACATTGCTGAAATCAGCAGCATAACTTCTCTTGCCTTCGTTAAAATTTTGCATAATATAAGTTGATAGATGCTACTGTCATTTTTTTTGCTCTGATTCACAGATAACAAACAAGCATGTTAAACCATCCAGCATTGAATTCCCATAAACACATTATTTACAGATGTTTCCTCCTCTCTTTGGAATTCTTTCTTCTCCCTTCTGTGGAAGGTGAGTCAGAAAAAGACATGGGAAATGTGCAATGCTCCTGCAGATTTAGCTCTGAAGACATAGTTAATAAACAGTGCATCTTGGCAACACTTTCTAAGTTAAAAATAATTTTCATAAAAACACATAACAGAAAGAACCAGTAAAAAGAAATTTAGTACAGGCTTGATGTGCAATACTGACTCTTTACTGATCATAATTTATTGAAGTGATTAATTAATACACCTAATTTCACTAAAACAGGTGGAAGATTTTTCAAAAGAAGAAGTAATCTTTTGGAGTGAGTAGGTCTGCTATTCTAGATGAGCCTTTTTGCCTATTTTAAATTCCAGGTGATGTTCAAATGTTGTGTTAACATAGGTAATTTTTGCTTCTATAGACAGGAATGCCTATAGAAGACTTATTTATGTTTTGTTTTGAGGGAGCCTTTCTCTTTAGCTCATTATTGTCACACAGGTCTTAAAACAGTAAGTTTAGTGGCAATAAATGTTAAAATTGAAATGATATCCTCAAAATCTCTATAAATTTACTTTATCTATCTTCCCAACAAATAAAGGAGGCAGAGTTTCTTCACCAGATGATGCAAGTTTTAGAAACATCATTTATTTGAGTGCAAATCAGCATGAACAGTCATAGGGATTTGTGTTCTGGGACTTGCAATTTCACTGGCTAATGGTGTGACTATGGCAAATCGCTTTTCACTCTGGGACTTCTCATTTGGACTAGATCAGTAGTCAATTAATCTTTTTTAGATAATGTATCTTTTTGAGGCCTTGAGTGAAAAGAAATATTCTGACATACATACAAAATATACAGACAATCTTGGGGGCCCACAGTCTCCAAAAGCCAGGACCCCTGTTTAAAAACCTCTGAACAAAATTATCATCATTATAGGTATTTTAAAACTCTACCTATATTTTCTTTGATTCCAGGTTCGATTCCGGTCAAGGGCATGTACCTGGGTTGCGGGCACATCCCCAGTAGGAGAATCCAATATAATTTTTTAAAATATGTTTTTATTGATTTCAGAGAGAAATGGAGAGGGAGAAATAGATAGAAACATCAATGCTGAGAGAAAATCATCGATTGGCTGCCTCCTGCATAACCACCCCCTCCCCCCACACACACACACACTGGGGATGAGCTCCCAGCCCACACTGACCATGGAATTGAACTGTGATTCCTGGTTCCTGGGTCTATGCTCAACCACTGAGTAACATCTGTGGGCTCTTCCATTGTTATTTAATCTTCTTGAGTCTCTTGCTTTATGCAAGGTAAGGCTTTGGTTTTACATATGAATAATAATAATAAAATAAAAATAAATTCATACACACACACATAAATTTGGGCCTTAGTTTTTTTTATTTTTTATTTTTTAAATTTCAGGTTAAATGTGAAGTGATTGATAGTTTTTTCATATCATGGCTTTAAATGCTAGTTGGGTGACTGTACAAGCTCTTAAAACAAAGAAATAAAAGCAATGTAGACAAAGCATAGTCTGAATTGATTTACTCCATATACCCATGTTATTTATAGTCCCCTCCCCCCCCCCAAAAAAAAACAAAACACTAGTATTTACTTGGAGCATTCAAAGCAAGTAATTGATTTAAAATATAAGGCATTGTTAAAGAGGCTACTAGACACAAATGGGCCACCATTGTCATCAATAGATGATGCTGATGCTAAAGGATGTTCATTATATTGAAAAGAAGAAAAAAAACAGATAAAGTTTATTTTCGTTAAGGGTGGTTAACTCAGCTGAACAGTGATTTTTCTAACAAGCCAATAAGACACATTTTCAATGGCTACTCATGGCACAGTTCCCTTTTCTTATGCTATCTAGAACACTTGCATATCCAGTTATATTATAGAAACGTAAATGCTGAAGTTAGGAGGACTGTTATTTTGTAGTTAATGAAACCAAGGCCCAAAGGAAGATGGTAACTTGCTTCAAGTCATCCGCTGAGTTTGTCACAGAGTCACCTGGAGCTCAGCTTTCTTAATCTCTGCTACTGAAAGGCTCTTTTCCCTGCCCCATGAAATGTACATCTGATAAGACACCGGTAGTACTGTTAGTTTGAATCTCCCTATAAACTCTAGTGCTAGCTGGAAAATAGGTAGTGAATGTTAATTCCAGATTCATAGCAGAAAATCACACTCTTCTTCCCAATATATCTTCTGATTCTAAATTCATTAGTCATGTCTTTTGCCTACTAAAATCTATTTTCCTATATTAGTTTTAAAACAGGACAATTGTGCTAAAAAGATTTTGTTCTTCGGCATTCTGTATTGGAAATTTGTAATAGCATATAGTTTCTAGGAAATGTTAATATTGCCATTTTTAAATTTAGGTTCATAGACAAAAGTCATAACTTCACCAACTTTCTAACCCCCTAGGGAACTGTTGTTATTAAAACAGATGACTATTGTTCTCTACTCACAGGACCATATCATGCTTCTTATTCAGGAGAAAAGAACCATCTTTTTGTAAGCTAGTGAGACAGGAAATAAATGATACCAAGCATAATGAGATCTGCGTTTACTTCAGCCACCCCAGACAGTGAGAATTCACTGATTCCTTCTGTCTACATCTCCCCTCCATTACTCCAGCAGCTTTATTCCATTCTGTAGTAGTCTCAGAAGACAGAGTTGCAAGGCTAGCTAGATGAAGTTTTCCAAAGAAAAGATGCAGTAGAATTTTGATACTTAGCAAAGGGTCCATGAAGAGAGAACAGGAAAAAGGCCACGTGAATGAGTTGAAATTATCAACATTCTAAATAATGTTGCTTTAGAATAGAGACCAGTAATTTTTTTAATGTAAACATACAGATTTTTATTTTTCCTTATACAAAACTTTAATTTTTGTTTATAGAATCTAAACATAGATTTCTACGTTTATTTCACATTATAGCAAAATCACTCCTAATCTTAATGCAGAGAGTTAAAATACAACTTGAGAACTGGTAAAGATAAGAAATGCCTCATAGGGGCAAAACTAGGAGGGGAAAGGGAACTCAAAGACAGAAAAATTATTTTAATACATCAGGACATGATAATGCTTTTCTTTTCATAATTTAATAGATGCTCAAATGTGTGACAAGACTGGCTATTCCTCTGGTTTGGGGAAATGTAAAACAACACGGCCCTTGGTTTGTTTTTAGAGAGCCTTTCCCGTTTTCTTTGCCACTAGAATTACAGGAGAAGCATTCATCAGAATTACAATCTTCTTTGAGAAGTTGAGCCTTGATGAGCTGCTGGTTGACCTAGAGGCAACCCGACCTTCCGATGAGAAGCAGCACTACAAAACCGCTCTAATATA